GGGGAAAAAAAACCAAGATATTATTCAGTAGGTGAATAGATAAATAAATGGTGGTCCTTGTAGATAATTAAATATTACTTGGTGGTAAAAACAAATGAGTTCTCAAACCACGAAAAGATTTGGAGTACCCCTAAATGCATGTAACAAAGTGAAAGAAGCCAATCTGAAAAGGCTACATACCGGCTGTCCGCGGTGGCTGACGCCTGTAATCCCAGCACTTTGGGAGGCTGAGACGGGCGGATCACGAGGTCAGGAGATCGAGACCATCCTGACTAACACGGTGAAAGCCTGTCTCTACAAAAAATTAACCGGGCGTGGTGGTGGGCGCCTGTAGTCCCAGCTACTCGGGAGGCTGAGGCAGGAGAATGGCATGAACCCGGGAGGCGGAGCTTGCAGTGAGCTGAATTCGCCACTGCACTCCAGTCTGGGGGACAGAGCCCGCTCCGTCCTCCCGCAAAAAAAAAAAAAAAAAAAAAAAAAAGAGGCTACCATATTGGTAATGTTCAGAATATATGGACGTTTGGAAAAGGCAGACAACTATAGATAAGGATTCAGTGGTTGGCCAAGCGGGTGGAGGAAGGGAGAAGCACATAGGAGACTTTTAGGGCAGTGAGAACCACTCTGTATGGAATACTATAATAGTGAAAACATGTTAATTATACATTCTGCCTAGAGACCCATAGAATCGGTACAACACCAAGATAAACCCTAATGTAACGTATGGGACTTTTGGTGATAATGACCTGTGTCAATGTAAGGTTCATCGATTGTAACAAATGTTCCACTTGTGATACAGGATTTTGATTATTAAGGAGGGCTTGTGCATATGTAGGGACCAGAGGTCATATGGGAATACTCTCTATACCCTTCTGCCTCAATTCTCGTTTTAGAACGTAAACTTGTTTCTAAAAAAATAAAGTCTATTTTTTGGGAAAGTCTCCAGTCAAAAAAAGAAAACACAGAAATGATAAGTAGGGTTGGATCCCAAGAATTACAAAGGATGGGTCAAATATCAGAAAAATGTATCCATGTAATTTATCACATTAGAACTGAAAGAGAGAAAAAAAACGATATGGTTTATTACCAAGTGTAAAAAAAAAAAAAAGTTAAAAAAACTTTAATAAATAAATGTATTTCATGAAAAATAAAAATCTGAAAACTATGAATAAAAGAAAACTTTTTAGCATTTTAAAGACGTTTCTGCCGAAAACATGCAGCATAGCATGATCTCAAGAAAATGATATAAGGCACGTTTCTTCCTTGAAAAACTTGCAATAAGTATAGGAACGCAAAAAAGGAAATAAGGAATTTAATTCAAAGATTGTAAAGAGGGATATGTTTTAAGTGTGCTGGTTGGCTAAATAAAATTATTTACATGAAACATTCCAGCAGGGTAGCGGAGCAAATTATTAGTTTAGTCAGCGTTTTGCACGCCAGATAACGCACCACAGATTAGGCAGTAGTAAAAAGTAGTGGAAAAATAAAATGACCATTTAAAGCAGCAAAACCCCAAAAGTATTGCCAGGCATGGTGGCTCCATACCTGTAATCCTAAGCCAGCTTTTGGAGCCAAGGTGGATGGATCACTTGAGGGTCGGAAGTTCAAGAAACCCAAGCCTGGCCAAACATGGTGAAACCCGTCCTCCACTGAAAACTCACAAATTTAGGGCATGGTGGTGAATGCGGTATAATCCGCAGCCTACCAGGGGAAGGCTGAGGCCCCAGGACAATCAGTGCGGAATCGCAAGGAAAGGGCAGAGGTTGCAGTGAGCCCAAGATCATCACCCCCCACTCGCTCTCATAGGCCGGGTGAGATGAGGATGTCTCAAAAAAAAAAAAAAAAAACTAGGCACAGTGGCTCATGGCTGTAATCCTAGCCCATCTTTGGGAGGCCCCGGGGCCCCGGTGGCATCACCTTGACGGTCAGGAGTTCAAGACCAGCATTGGCCAACATGGTGAAACCCCCTCCGTCTCTACTAAAATACCAAAAATTAAGACCCGGGCCATCCCAATGGGCAGGTGCCTGTAATCGCCAGCTACCATGAGGAGGCACGCTGAGGCAGGACAAGTCTGCTGAACCCAGGAGACAGGAGTAGTTCCAGTAAGACCGAGATCACGGGCCACTGGGCACCTCCACGCGACAGCTTGAGGCGAGGACTGTCTCAAAAAAAACAAAAAAAAGTATAAGGGCTAAGGATTAACCTAACAAAGAACACACAGAAACTTTAAGGTGGAATTTTAAAAACTCCACATTCCAACTGTATAGACAATGACTCCCCTGACAAAACGATGGGCTAAAAGCTATACCGCGAAGTATAAAGTTTCAATGAATATCATAAGACGCATTTTGAAAAAAACAGAAGACGCGCCGGGCCCCTGGTGACATCCCCAGCCCACGCTGTATTCCCAGGCAACTTGGAAAGGCTGAGGCAAACGGATCAACTTGAGTCAGGAGTTGGAGCCAGCCCTGGCCAACATGCGGTGAAACCCCATCCTCCCCTACGTAAAAAATACAAGCAATTAGCCAGGCATGGTGGCAGCACGCTTGTAATCCCAGCTACTCCGGGAGGCGAGGGCCAGGAAGAATCGCTTGAACCGCCCAGAGGCGGGGTTGCAGTGAGCCCAAGATTGGGGCACCACTCGGGCACGCCAACCATAAGGCAACAGAGGGAGACTCTGTCTCAAAATAAATAAAATAAGTAAAATAAAGAAGCAGCAAAAAGGAACAGGACTTCACTGACTAAATATCAGTCCAGACATTCAAAAGCCTGTCAGGCATGACAAATATTGTTCTGGTTAAAGGTGGTCCA